TATGTTTCGCCGGGCCGCGACGAAATATAGAGCTGAGTATCATCAGCATAACAGCATAAAGCAGCCATTCAAAAACTATGAAACCACATTTTGCAAAGTTGACAATTAATCATATGATTGTGTGACGTCTATTAATGGGCAGTTTTTTTCATGGTTGCCCTGTGGCTTAACCCAGTGTTATGTCACCGTTATGCCTTTCTTTGATGTGGCGGCTCCCAGTGCGGGAATCCTCTCTGTGTAGGTTTTTTTTTACTTGCTTTCAAATTGACTGATGACAAACCATTTACACAGCGAGCGGAAGCTACTCAGCAAATCCCTGACCTCATTTTACCATTCTGCTTTTGATGAAAGGAAAATATAGCAAAGATCTTTTGTGACATATCAGTCGGCCCTGTATTGTGTAATTTCACCACAATAAAATACATTATTTGATTTCCACTTACTGAGTGGCCAAAAGAAAACCATTAGCATGACCACTGTGACGAAATAAGAATATTACTAATTGCTTGGGGGGAAAAAAAGCCTTAGAGCTGCTTATGCATTTTAGTTGAACTTCATCATTGCCTAATTAAAAAAAATATTAAACTTTAAGGTTCTCCCAAGTTTGTGATTAATCAGTTGACAGTTTTAAATGAAATATCCATCATAAATAATAGCAGTCCTGCTTTTGTAACTCAAAAAAATAAAGATTATAATATGATTCATAATATGTCAGTAGTAAAAATCCAGAGTGGGATTTGGAAATAATCTCACAAGTGATGAAATTGCGAAAATGACGTAACTAATATGTAGCGTGGAAATTTAGGTTAGAGATTTCAGTTCTTTTAAAGATTCTCCAAATTTGTGGTCTTATGTGGGTCACTACAAAAGCTCCTGTTCCTGGACGTTGAGTAACTGAAATCCTTTTCATGATTAAGTAAGAAGGCGATCTAAGATTTCAGGACCTTCTTTGAAACTCCAAGAAGTAGGTCAGAGGCCTGCGTCACATTTTAAACAGGTTTTGGGAACCTTCAGGGTTTAATGGTCTAAAATAATGAATAATTTCATTATTTTATCCAAAAATGAAAATTCTGTCAAGTTGATTCAAACCTGTATGTTTTTTTTTCCTTTTGTGGAACATATTTTTTGTCTATACAATGAATGTCAATGGGGTCCAATATTGTTCAGATCACAATTTTCTTCAAAATATGTATAAAGTAAAACAGTTTTGAAACAACATGACAGAATTTTCATATTTGGGTGAACTGTCCTGTTAAGTATTTTTAAATCATAAAACAAAGTATATATTGCTTAAAGGTTTACAACAAAGAATATCCTTTATTGATCTTCACAACAAGAACACTTTTGAAATGCATGCATTTAAAGCTGTCATACTGGTTTGGGGGATTACTTTTATTGTATTACTGTCATTTGCATGTGCATCGCCCTCAATTCTGAGTCATGAAAATGCGCCCCTGCCCTTTCCCCACAATCCTTAGAAATTTCAGAGTAGGAGAGGGTAAGACCGCAATTGCTCTGCAACTGACGCAGTCGTAAACCAGCACCGGTGGGAAACTGTGCATCCGTGAGATGCAAGCCATTACAGACACTGGGGCGGAAGTCTCCATGTCGATATGACTTTTTGCAAACTATGTCAATCGAGGTTGCTGGCATTAACAGACGGCAACGTGGGAGCTGACATATAGTGGACAGAATCACAACCAGCAAGAATTTAATTCATCACACTAATATATTCCTTCTGATCTGAGTGCATATGGGACGGCTGTCAGTGAAAGTAGGTTATGTTAGGATATAATGGTTGCTATGCTAAGGTGAAATAAACACAATAATATGTGGGCACAAAATGTATTTAGACACTTCAAAAACACAAAATGTATGAATTTCCTTGCATAAGATAATAAAATATTAAACCAAAAGGCATTTATGTGAAATAAAAAGACGTCTAAATATTTTACTAAAAGATCCATTGTTAAAAATAAATTCAAAAAGTATTTGGACGCTTTTTGGTTTTAAAACGTTAGTGGAATGTGTCCAAATGACATCAATGACTTCACATATTCACTAAAAATCACTTTGGGTCCAGTTGGTTAAATTTAATAGCCAATAAATAAATAAATGGCTGTGAAAAGTGTGGAAGGCTGTTTCACCCATGGGACAATCAATCAATCAATAAAAATACTAATTATGACTTTTTGTCTCACAAATTAAACTTTTTTCCTCGTAATTGTCAGAACTGAATTGAATTGTGAGATAAAAAGTTATGAACTGTGAGCTATAAACTCTTCTGGGAAGAAAAGTCTGAAGAAGACTCAATTCTGCGAAGCAAAGTTGTGAGAATTGTGAGATGTAAATAAAAAATTGTGAGAAAAAAGTTGCAATTACTTTTTTTATTTGTCATTCCGTTGCGGAAACAAGCTTCCGTAGAATTGGGAGATTATATCTCAATTCTGTTTATATCTCATAATTCTGACTTTTTATCAGAATTTTAAGTTTACATCTGACAATTCAGACTTTTTTTCTCAGAATTACAAAATATAAAATCTGAATTGCAAGAAGAACAGTCAGAATTGTGGGATAAAAAAAAATATCTCTTTTTTTTTTTTATCCCGTGGTGGAAACAAGCTTTCATACGGTGGTGAAGTCTTCTGAAAATCTGCAGAAGAAACATTTATATCTTATACAATGAAAGTAAACGTATATTTTTGGATAAAAATGTTAAGTATAAGTGCATCATATCGCTTAAATGCATTGTTTAAAATAAATTTGTCAAAAGGAAATAACATAGTGTGATATTTGATTGCAGTGACACAATACACTCAAGTGATTTTGCTGACACATTGAATATGACAACATAAAATACCATCAATGGGGAGAATTCATCACAGGAAGGAAATGCACGAACAGGCCTCTCTATATAAACTGCACTTGCCACTGCAAATGTAGAGCAGCGAGACTTAAGACTGACAGAAGACATCAGAAAAAAACAGGTCAAATGAATGCAACTATGTCATCAGCGCTTACCATCCAGTTCCTCATGGTGAGTATTGCTGAAATGTTCGAAGACGGCCTGCTAATATCTCCTAAGGATTTTTGTTGCCGAAGTCGCAATGCTAATACAATTGAATCTGAAATGACAGTGTCTGTGTTTCACAGATGGCTTGTATGATGGGGCTTGTTTTAATATCATTTGGAGCTGAGGGGGCACCTTCAAAACATCTTACGAAGAAAGGAAACCACAGGTCACAAGAAGAATTGGATCCATCATCATCATACCGGTTGATCTTGGATCCTGAGTTCAAATCCCCGGCCAACCCGAACCTTCCAATAAACAACGACTCCATCTCTCCATGGACCTACACGTAAGACCTTAGTATATACGCTTAAAAATAAAGATTCTTTATTGGCATCTATGGTTCCATGAAGAACCTTTGACATCCACGAAACCTTTCCATTGGTTCGTTAGATTATTCAAATGTTCTTCACACTAAGAAAAAATGGTTCTTTTAAGAACTGTTCACTAAAAAGGTTCTTTGCTAAACCCGAAATGGTTCTTCTATGGCATCACTGCGAAACCCCCTTTTGGAACTTTTATTTGTAAGAGTTATGATCATGAACCGTCATTTCTGTATCATATTCACATGCGCATCTTTGTTGTTTTTAGAATTAGAACGTGACTGTTGCAACACGCAAACCTAAAACGTCACATGATTAATTTTGTTTCATAGGTTTATGCATGACGAGAGCCTGTACCCATCTAACATCGCAGTGGCGAAGTGTTCACTGACTGGATGTCTGATAGATGGCACTGAGGACCAGGATTACCAGTCCAAACCTATTTACACCCAAATCATAGTCTTGAGGAAAATTCGAGGAGATAAGCACAACTATTCCTTGAGACTCGAGTACAAAACCATCGCAGTGGGATGCACCTGCGTTCGTCCATATGTACAACATGTTTAAAATGTGGGAGCTGATGGAGTTACAATACTGTAGATGTTTGATCATTAGCGTTACAGTATTACAAATCCAGAACATAAGGTTTAAGACTTATGACTTTATAATTTATTTATGGTATCATATACATGTTCGCAAAATGTGGGATATTTATTTATTTTCATGATATTTTATCTATTAATTATATTGGATCCATCATCATCACGCTGCCTGATATTTGGATAATGAGTTCAACCCTTCGACTTGATCCATCTAATAATCTAATTTATAAATGTCATTATACATGTGCTTTCAAATGTATGTTGTTTATTTTCACTGGATTTAAAAAAATTTTTTTTGAAGATTTTTATTCAAATATTTTGTATTAACTTTTTATTTATTGATCCAAATGTGTTTTTAAGGATATGACTGATGCAATAAATGAGAAAAAAATTACAAATATTGTTCTGATGGTCTTTTTAAAAAAAAACAAAAAACTCAAAATCCATAATGAGGAAGTCACAAGGACAAAACTATACCAGCAGTCCTTTAATTCCCTCTGCTTCTAAAATATATCACAATTTCTGTACAGAATATAGCCAAATCAGACACCAGCTGATCATGAGGCAAGTGAACATACGTACAGCGGCAAAAGCTTGAGCAGTTTACCAAAAATAGAGCCTTAAAGACAGGACAGAGGACAAACTGCATCCACATGGGCAAAGTACATGAAACCATCCAAACGTCATCCAGATACTTATAAACACAAAAAAAGTTATCACTCACATTCACTCATTTTTGGCACTATTGGCATACAAGCTCATCGCAGAGACAAACACATCTTTGCGTTTCTCAGATTAAGGTAGTAAAGATTCCATCACAATCTTTGCTGGCCAGCCAGTTCCGTTCATCTGACAACATGGCCATCGTACCTTACAATGATATAGTGATATCATAATCTGTTTCAGAGTCATAATCTCTTATGATCCAAGCTAAAAAGCTCAGCGTGATAGTCAGTCCTTTGGTCAATGGTCTCCCATATGATCAGCATGTGTTGTGAGAAGATCTCAAGGCACCTGGAACATAAAGTTCAGAGATATAGCAATTAATAACAGGACAAAAACCACACGGTCACACACCAAATGGCTTTTCACAAGTTTTATCAAGTGCATCATGGCATGCAAGCATTAAAACGGTTGATTTCGGCCACATTTAATACACGATTTGTCAGGTAACTAACAAATATTCTACTAATGATTCCTCAACTACAAAAAACCAACACTAAGACACAATAATACAAAGCCAGACTACAGTAATAAGTACACATCACCTCTTTGAATGCACAAACAATGTTACAAACAGATAATTCACAGCAGTACAACACCATCATGGCATGCAAGCATTAAAACGGTTGATTTCGGCCACATTTAATACACGATTTGTCAGGTAACTAACAAATATTCTACTAATGATTCCTCAACTACAAGCCTGACACTGTGGAGATAATGCATAAGATTCTATGTAACTCAGCATGAGACTCAGATAGAATCATATTTATTATCTTTTGTTATTGTTAACTAAAACTCAAACTATATAAAAAAAATTATTAGTATTTGAAAAAACAAAAATTACTCAAATTTAAAATAAAATTCAAATGAAAACTTCAATTATAAAAAATAAAGCTAATGCAAAATATTATAAGACCATAATAGTATATAAATAATACTATATTATTTACAATATAATATTTATAATTTATAATAAAAAACACTGAGAATATCAGCTTTTAAACATCTATCTGAAGTTGTCTTGCATCTATTTAAGTTCAAATTAGCAAGCCAAACTATATCTCAGTTATAGATATGCAAGTGAAAGCAATAATAATTAGACATGTCTGATTACTGACATAAACTAACTAATTGATATTGAGAGTATCCTCCACAAAAAACATCACTGTTCCTCACTTTTCTTCTCTCCTCAGCTGCATCCAGTTTCTTCTGGATCTCCTCCAGCGAGGGGTCATTGCGAGGTGGGAAAGTGGGATGGAATTCCCTCTGACCGTCAAAAGATGGAGGTCTGAGGATGACCTCAAAGGCCTGGCCCGATGACCGCTTGTTTAGCTCAATCACCTCCATGTCTTTAATAATGCCCAGGTTGAGGTCCACAACATCTAAAACAGAAGATCAACAATGACTGATTAGATTGATATTTATTCATGCAACTGATTGATTGAGAACAGACGTAATTACAATATGTTCCATTTACTGTAGGTTCACTTGACCATGTAAAAACAGGGAAATCTATCTGAAAGTATGCAAGATTTTAGATTTGAGATGCCTTTAAGGTACCTTGTGTTTTCTTGGTGGGCTTTTCCCGAGGCTCTGGTAGGATGCAGGAGCAGAAGAGAGACACTAGAGGGAGCTCCTTCATCTTCTCTCTGTATGCTGCAAAAGAGAGACAGAGTTATTTTGAGGTAACATCATCACTGATGCCATGTGCTCACACATCATTCCTTCAGCTCCATTAAACACTCCCAAGTTCACATGTGAACAAGCAGGTGGATGTACACGTACCTGCAAGAGTCATCTTTCCTTTTTCTGAGTCCTCCGAGGCGTTTCAAACTCAACTGATCCTGCAGGAGAGAAAAACGATGATGTAATCAGAAACCACAGTCAATCGATTCCTCTGGATAAGTCTTTGTCCTCACATAAAGGTCCCACAAGCAAAGATTATAAAATAACAAGCCCAAATCAAACCTTCATACTGCAAACAAATAATTTTTATAATCAGTGGTCTTCCTAAAAAAAAAAACTCTTTGAAACTGAGAGGTAAAATTCCATCAGATTAATCAGTTTGCATCAAGTTTTTGTTTTAAGCATAATAAAAAAAAAAAAAGTGGTTCATGTCTAAAAAAATAAGAGAAATAATAATAATATAATAATAAAGATAATAATAATAATAATAATAATAATAAAGGATTATTAAAAATATATATATATATATATTCTCAGAAGACTTAATCATTTACATATTTTAGCTACTGGTTAGATATAAAAAAAATAAAATAAAAAAAAATACTGAAGAAAATGATTTGTTTGCAGTGTAAGAGAACCACACAGCTACATCTAAGCACATAATAGTATGCATACTATATAAAATCTATTTTAATCCACATAACAAAGCAAGGAACAATTACATTCAATGGTAATATACTTGATGGCAATCGTTCGCAAAAGACAGCATGAATGAATCTGGTTTGCTCAGGGTTTATGATCGTCTCTCAGCCTACGCGCCTTCTCTATTAGTCTCTCTCGCTCATCCTGCCTCTGCCCTCGCTGTGCCCCCTCATTTCCCACGGTCACGATCGCTGCACCCGCTAACACCTTTGAAACTTTCTGACATATTCAGTGCATGGGTTTATTCTATAAAACATTTCAACACTTTTCGGGGTCAATTGATAGCATAAAGGGCAAAAATGTTGATTCTGTAGGCCATTATAGGACAATGTGCATCATATTTCTTGTCACACTGCATGCACACAAATTAAAAAATCCTCCTGATTTATTGATGCCAGCAACACAGCTGATATAATAAATAATACATGCGTTGGAACACAACTCAACAGCACTGTTGTCTACCTTAAACAAATACAAATTTCACATGCATTTGTTTGCAGCTCTTGCAAAGCAAGTCATTTTCTCAACCTCCCACTGCCTTCTGATCGGAATAAACGCTTGTTGGTTTAAAAGCAAAGGAAGTGCCGCTCTATGAAGGGGCCGTGGCCTTTTGCACACTAACATACTGTATAATCTCACCTCTCAGTGCCACCCACAGTGCAGACTAGTACACTCACTGCAGGACCTCTGTGTATTCAAAAACACACTTTGCCCTACATCCCCTTTTTAAAACTACCAATGCACTTTTTCCGCATAGCTATTTTTCACCTTGCACGACTATAATGCACTCTGTACTATGCAATGCACATCTTTTCTTTAGACTAATGTGATTTCAAGCACAATATCAAATCTAAATTGATTCTGATATGCTGTTAAGACTCTTAACAGTCGCAAACCCCCCCAAAAAATCATGCTTATATATGCATTTATGCATATATATAAGTCTACTAACCTCGACTGCATGCTCTAAATCTTGCAAGCATGCAAATCTGCAATGCAACATAATCTAAGGAATGCCAAGCTAGATTTCTGCGCTATTAACACCAGAACAAAAATAGAATTAATGGAACTTGCTATAGTGAATAAAACTTTAGTCCAACAGATTGCCAGTCTCCTTTTGTCCTGCAAAAGAATAATACAGTAAATAACAAATTATGATAACTCACCGACAGAGTTATGTGATCTTCTGTCAGAGTCTTTCCCTCACGTTCAGTCTGACAGTCTGCTGCTGTTTGGTGCTCAACCTGGCAGCATCAGCACCACCTCTGCTAGATAAAGCATGACATCACCTCCCAGCGCTGTATGCACTTTTTCCGCATAGCTATTTTTCACCTTGCACGACTATAATGCACTCTGTACTATGCAATGCACATCTTTTCTTTAGACTAATGTGATTTCAAGCACAATATCAAATCTAAATTGATTCTGATATGCTGTTAAGACTCTTAACAGTCGCAAACCCCCCCAAAAAATCATGCTTATATATGCATTTATGCATATATATAAGTCTACTAACCTCGACTGCATGCTCTAAATCTTGCAAGCCGCAAACCCCCCAAAAAAATCATGCTTATATATGCATTTATTATATAAGTCTACTAACCTCGACTGCATGCTCTAAATCTTGCAAGCATGCAAATCTGCAATGCAACATAATCTAAGGAATGCCAAGCTAGATTTCTGCGCTATTAACACCAGAACAAAAATAGAATTAATGGAACTTGCTATAGTGAATAAAACTTTAGTCCAACAGATTGCCAGTCTCCTTTTGTCCTGCAAAAGAATAATACAGTAAATAACAAATTATGATAACTCACCGACAGAGTTATGTGATCTTCTGTCAGAGTCTTTCCCTCACGTTCAGTCTGACAGTCTGCTGCTGTTTGGATGCTCAACCTGGCAGCATCAGCACCACCTCTGCTAGATAAAGCATGACATCACCTCCCAGCGCTGTGATTGGTCGAGAGGGATGCAGGCTTCTGATGGGCTGGAATAGCTGGGAGTGCAGATAGGGGGTGGTTAACTCTTTGTTGAAAGCTGGTTTCAGAGAAAGAAAGGGCATAGATTCTGCAGCTTTATGCAGAAGAAACAGTACTTCTTCTTAATTTTTAAATATGGCAAAAAATTTTGAGTAATTAATAAATATTGAGTAATACAAGTAGAATTTTTATTTTTTGGTTTATTATTGTTTATGGTAACATGGCTATTGGAGCTATCAAAAATAGCACAGAGATTGCTTTAATTTGCTTTAATATATGTCCTTTTTTAGCAAATAAAGACTTGGAATCCCTGCATTCCTTTTTTAGTTTATTTCAGTTTAGAATTTAATTACGTGCAGCATCGTGTGCTAAACCAGTTCTGTCTGGTTTTGGGAGCTGTTCGAAATGTCATGTCTAAAAACGGAGGAGGACAGGGATTTATGTGTCATCTTCTCACTCACTCATGGCTGGAGTCTTGATGATGACTATGACACAGTAACCTTGCCAGCATGCTCGTTTGGATTTGGGCAAGACTGGGCCTGTTTGAACAGTCTGTCAGTGGCCCATCTGTTGCTCTGGTCCTGTGCCAAATCAATTACTGGTGTTTTTACAATTTCAAACACAGCTTGTAGAACATTGTATTTCTTTTATGTAGAAAAACCTGATTTACAACCAAAATTGTAATATGCATGTAGCATCTCTAATTTCAGAAATTAATGGTTTCTAGATGTATTTATTGACATTTTTGTGTAAAAATGGGATTTGTAAAACGATAAATTCACACTGTCAGTGTTTGGGATTGACAATCTCCTGTTCACACAGTAGTTTACCATACAGGCTCGAGTATGGTCTGCATAAATGTGCACCGTGCAAAACTGCAAAGTCTTATCACATTCGACAAGACAAAAGTTCCGTTGAGGTGCAACTTCATCTGTCAGATCTTAATTAACCGACAGAAAATTTTAAATTTCAGTAAATAGCGAATAATTTGTGTTGCGCACAGACCACAAAACTGACGGGTTCCGGTTGACTGGATCTAAACCTTCAGGTGACACACCTGCTCATACTCTGGTAGTTACCGAAATCACACATGAAAGCCCACAACACACGATAGACACAGGTTTGTGCAGCAGAGTGTTTCTCTCATTCTGAGTTCCATTCACACAGCAGAAGTTGTGAGTTCTGAAAATGTACGGGTATGAGTTCGGTTATAGAATGCGGTTGTCACCAAATAATCTAAATGTGTGTGAACGAATCGTATTAAAGGTATAGTTTACCCCAAAAAATAAATCTTTTCATCGCATTTACTCACCAAGTTATTTCAAACCTGTATGAATTTCTTTCTTCTATTGAACGCAAAAAAAAAAAGAAAAAAAAAAGATATTTTGAATAACGTTGGTAACATACAGTTGCTTCACATCTTGTAAATAAGTTGCTTCACACACACACACACACACACACACAGGTTTGTTTTTGTGAAAAGTGGGGACATCCCATAGGCGTAATGGTTTTTATACTGTACAGACCGTATATTCTATTGCCCTACACCAACCCTACCCCTAAACCTACCACTCACAGGAAACTTTGTGCTATTTCAGATTTTCAATACACTCCATTCTGTGTGATTTATATGCGTTTTGAAAAGTGGGGACATGGGGTAATGTCCTGAAAAGTCACCTTCTCCTTGTAATACCTATGTCATACCTTTGTCATTATACAAATTTATGTCCTCATTTGTCACAAAAACGCGCGCACACACACGCACACACACACAACAGTATAATATCTGACACTGGGGCATTACCCTTTGTACCATTTAGGTACTAATGTAGGCCTACACTGTACGTAGGTACAAATAGGTTATGTACCTTTAAGGGACTAAAATGCACCCTTTCGGTGTAAATAAGGTACAAAATCTACTGTCACAGTGACAGCTTTTGTACATTTTGTTTTTCTGAGTGTGGTAGCCATTGACTTCCATATTTTCCCCCTCTATGAAAGCCAATGGCTATCAGCAACCGTTTACCTACATTCTTCAAAATGTCTTCTTTTTTTGATCAACAGAGAAAGAAAATCATACAGGTTTGGAACAACATGAGGGTGAGTAAATGATGATAACATTTTAATTTTGGGGGGAAAAAGCCTATCTCTTTAATGACTCAAATGCAAGACTTACAGCAATATTCTGCTGCTGTGTGAATGTGGCCAGTAATGTGCAGGGTACTCTTTGATGATTTCAGCATCCAAGGTGCTTATATGAACCTGTTTGCAGTTTCGAGGTCTCTCAGGTGAGGTGGAAATATTCCCAGCGGTTTGATATGGATGTTGAATATGGCGGAACAGAACACACTGTACTTTATTTCCCAGTGGCCTCAAGAACACTGACGTCAGGCACTTACCCTATACCAAACGAAACTAAATTACCTGCCATACATCTCCAACCATGATGTAAGTGAATAGAACAAAGGAACTCAATGCACATGGATAAATGCAAAACAAAAGATTGCATAAAAAACATTTTTGCAGTTAATAATACAACAAAATGATATATAAGCACATAATTTGTGCAAGAAAGGATCACCCACCCATATAAACTGGAGGTGAGCATTGTGTTGCGTATATGCTGGATGTGATTACTGAAGGGGGCCGCAGGGGGAGGGGAGACGGCAGTGCTCTAGCGATGATGTCATCCAGCTGTCTGTTAGGTGGAGAGTCGTGTGCACGCATACAGGGTTTTTCACATGGCAACAGAGCAAAGAATGCAGCAAACGAGGTCCTGGAACTGATTAACACAGACATGAAGGACAAAAAAGAACGCATACTAGGAATTGTTTGCAAAAGGTGCATCGAAATCCTTTGCTGAGTGACAACGAGGGACTGAAAAGACAAGGGTGGGGGATGTAGTGAAAGAAAACAATGTGCCTGCAAGGAAAGCCTGATCATCACTGGTAACCCTGCTATGATGTCATTTCCAGCCAATCAGGAGCGGTGCGCTGGATTCTCTAGTCAGAATGATGCAGTTTCCAGTTCACATCTGACCTTACAGCAGTGAGGATGATGACGATGATGAAGCTAATCATGCATACAAGCACAAGCCATACAGGTGTTTTTTGTTTTGTTTTTTTGCTTTGCATAACTACTTTTTTTAAAATTATTATTGTTTGGACTAAATGCAACTCAAATTTTGATATTTTTTGTACTTTTTTGGATTTTTCCCCACCTTGTTACATTTGTGGTGTTCCCTGTCAAAAAATGACTGAATACCTATGTCATACCTTTGTCATTATACAAATTTATGTCCTCATTTGTCACAAAAACGCGCGCACACACACACACACACACACACACAACAGTATAATATCTGACACTGGGGCGTTACGCTTTGTACCATTTAGGTACTAATGTAGGCCTACACTGTACGTAGGTACAAATAGGTTATGTACCTTTAAGGGACTAAAATGCACCCTTTCGGTGTAAATAAGGTACAAAATCTACTGTCACAGTGACAGCTTTTGTACATTTTGTTTTTCTGAGTGTGGTAGCCATTGACTTCCATATTTTCCCCCTCTATGAAAGCCAATGGCTATCAGCAACCGTTTACCTACATTCTTCAAAATGTCTTCTTTTTTTGATCAACAGAGAAAGAAAATCATACAGGTTTGGAACAACATGAGGGTGAGTAAATGATGATAACATTTTAATTTTGGGGGGAAAAAGCCTATCTCTTTAATGACTCAAATGCAAGACTTACAGCAATATTCTGCTGCTGTGTGAATGTGGCCAGTAATGTGCAGGGTACTCTTTGATGATTTCAGCATCCAAGGTGCTTATATGAACCTGTTTGCAGTTTCGAGGTCTCTCAGGTGAGGTGGAAATATTCCCAGCGGTTTGATATGGATGTTGAATATGGCGGAACAGAACACACTGTACCTGCTTTATTTCCCAGTAGCAACAAGAACACTGAAGTCAGGCACTTACCCTACCAAACAAAACTAAATTACCTGCCATATATCTCCAACCGAGATGTAATGTCTTTCTTTAGTGAATAGAACAAAGGAACTCGATGCACATGGGTAAATGCAAAACAAAAGATTGCATAAAAACATTTTTGCAGTTAATAATACAATGAAATGATATATAAGCACATAATTTGTGCAAGAAAGGATCACCCACCCATATAAACTGGAGGTGAGCATTGTGTTGCGTATATGCTGGATGTGATTACTGAAGGGGGCCGCAGGGGGAGGGG